AAGCAAAATCAATAAGGGAGGCGTTTTACTCGGCAGGGTGCAGAGAGTACCAGTGTGTTGCATACGCTGGGGTGTGCTAGGGTGCATGTGAAGCTGCCGATTGACTGCTTTGGCCTGGGACAAGGTCTGCACTAGTTGTGCTTGTCCTCGTGCCCCAGGGAGAAGGATTTGCCCAAGAGCAGGTAGGCCCTCGACGGACGCTTCGCTTATTGAGCGCAAGGCCCGGGAATCGACGCCTGGCTTGTACGGTGTGTTTGAATTGTGCACATTCTCCATTACAAAGCTACCGTGCTGTTTTTCGGCGCGATTTCTCTCTCCACCACTGCGCTTCCTCCCTATATATGTGACTCAACTTTGCATGAAGGGGAGTCATGGGATTGAACCAAGTGTACATTTTTTTAAGAAGATAAATGCAATTGTCAAATAGGCAATGTTTCATAAAAGCAAAATACCGTAAAAAAAATATTAATTATTTTATTAACATTCCAGGTTTTAAAATCAATAGTTATAAAATTTTTTGTTACTTATTTTTAGTAAATAATTGTAAATTTTCGTCTTTTTTATCATTAAATTAAAAAAATAATATTTATCCGTTTTTTAGTTCATAAAAATATTATCATTAGAAGCATTAGACCAAACATATAAATATATTTTCAACATTTCATATCTGTTGTCTAAAACTGAGCAATTCATACTTACTATTGCTCTTTCACTTCTTAAACTATTTTATTTTTCTGTTGTTAGGATGTCATTATGATTAAATTTCATTCTTATGATATATCAGAATTTCTGTTTTCTGATTCAGAAAACAGTCAATCACCATTTCTAAAATTCATAAGAAGTGCCAAAATTTATGCTGTTTAAAAAATTAAATCCTTCATTACAATTAATCAGCCTGAATTAGAAAGCCAAATAGATTTAACTCAAAATTTTAGTTTGATCGGGAGATGTGATTGACATAAAATAATTCAACTATCTATATTTCCTACGCGTTTATACTCAAAAGTATGCAAACCGCCTACCCCTATCACTTTCCTCTTCGATAGAATGCAAATTGACTTGGCATTCGGTGCACCGACTTCTCACCTTGGGGCGAAGACAGCGATAAATCTACATTGCAAATAGTCTCATCACCTTGCGATTTCACCAACCCTCGAACCGCAAACACACGCAAAATGCAAATCCCGCAAAGCAATTTCGTTTGCTTCAGGGAAACACGTCGCCATATTTACATAAATTTAACAAAACTTAGTATATTGATTTTGAAAAAATGGAACCACAGCTTTTCCTAATGGATTATTTCTATTTTTTCCCCTGAAATGCGCGAATTTTAAATTTCAATCACTTTTTTTCCTGATACACTTTCCTCCTTTTTCTCTCAGAATTGACTTCAGCCCCAGGGGAAATTCAGCCAAACCATATGTATAGACTGGTGAAATGGAATTTTCCATTATTGTATTAAAGTTACTTCTTTTTAATGTCTGCAAATCCTCTGTGTTTTAAGTAAGGTGCATTTTTACGACCGTATCGCGCAGCTTAACCTCTCAGCAACCTTTTTAATAGGCTTAAGTGCGGCGGCGGCGGAAAGCAAAAGAAGTGGTGTGCATTCGGGCAACTTTCAACTTTCCACCACTTTTGCCGTGTCCGCAGCATTTTTATGGCGGTTCAAGTCCTTATCGCGACGGCAGAGCGGCATATGAAATTTCATACCGTCATGAGCCTTTGATGTGCGCTCTTTTTCATTTCTCAAATGCGCTCTCTCGCCGCCGCCTCCTTATTCTTTTCTGGTTTGTCCCGCCGCCGCCGCTTTCCGCATCGCGATAAATCATTTTTCATCCCTCGCAATGTTCAAATACACACACAAGGCTCTTTGTCTCTCTCGGACGATTTGCGCGTCGAGTATAAAAATTATTGTCGTGAAGACGTGGGGAAAACAAAAATGCAGGGGTTGCAGAGGAATTTTTCTCCAGAAACAATTCCGTCCCTTACTCACTTGACTTTCTTCTTCGCTGCAGTCGTTTCTCCCCCTTTCGCTCGGAATCCTCTCTAGTGGCTGAAAATGAAGGTGATAATTTTTTATTTAGTCCTGCACGTCTGAACAGGCGCGGTGAACAACAGAAAGGGGAAAAAGCAGGAAATATCTCCTTCATTTCGTTAGTAGCAACAAAGAGAAAAGACACGGTAATCTGCCTCTGGTTTTTTCGTGTTGCTACAAATTAAGGCATTAAGCTGATTGTTTGTCATCCTTACTTCAAAGAATATAGCAGAAGATAAAAAAACGTCCTTGTTAAAGTTTTTTTTTGTGGTTAAGCAGTTAGAACATAAATCTTTTATATTTTGGTAGAAAATTCTAATAAAAACTTCAAAAACGTTGGATTTATCAAAGTTTTGAAATTTAACAGCACAGATTTGATATTTTGGAAGTGCTATAGGAAGGAGCATGCAAAATTTACTCAATATATTAATCTCACTTCAAGGATTTCTACTGGAAAATCCAAATCTTTATTTATAAATTCACTTTTCATTGCAATGTATTATTAATATCATATTTCAGTGTAAAAAGCCTAAGGGTTCTTGTAAAACAATAAATTCGTTATATTTCTCTATATTTTTTCTGCTTGTGGTCGTAGTAAAGGAAAACATTTCCCTATCCTTGTCACAGTGCTTCAAAAACCCACTCCAATTTCTCGAAAATCGAAAAATCAATAACGGGTTATTATTGCCATTGGCAAAAACACCTCGCGCGCATATAAAGGGCTGCGTTTTACGATCACCTATCTTTTTTATGGAGGTGCTGCATCACGCACGGCTCGTGCACCGAGCGGGTTGCATATCCTGGTAAAAGCGAGCACGTGCAGCGGCGGCCGAGTTGAAAGCTGCTGTGGCAGGGCGGTGGAAAGAGCACTGCATTGAGCGGGCAGACCACTCGAGGTCACAGGTCAGTCCAAAGTCGTTGGCCCGAATTAGCGTTCGAAGGCAGTGGTAAACAAACTGCTCAACTGGTGTGCCCTTTTAATGAGGGCGTTCGTGGTACTTACTTATGCAGCGATTTCATGTGCTCAAAATAGAATAGGGCAACTTTTCTCATAGTCAGTGAATGTCAGCGAGGCACGTTTCGAATCACGTGCTTTGCTGAAAGTGGATGGCTTGGATTGTAAATAAAGTAATGAATTTGTTGATTATTTTTAAAGCAGATGAATTTAATTTAAAATTTATTAAAAAAAGATATTTTTCATTTGCAAAATTCAAGAAGTTAAATTTTTTTTAATTAGTAAGAAAAAACTTTTTGATAATGGCTTATATTGCTAAGACTTCATTGATCATTGAAGAATAAGAAAAAAAAATATTATTTTATTATAAAAAATTGAAAGTTTTTCTGAAAGTAAATTTTCCAATCTTTAAAATTTGTAATTTTTATCAGAATTACCTTATATTATGTTTTTTTTTAATTAAAATCTCCACGTTGAACTGAAATTTTCCAGCATGGAAGTCATTATTGAAAATATGAGAAATGGGAACTCTTTACACCCGCAGGCTGTCAAGATAAAAGTTATGTAGCTGCTTTTGCGTCTATATAAAATCGATTCTCACGGTCAGAACTTCGTAAACAAGCATCTTTGCCAGTTTTCAAGCCTCTCCTCTATGTAAATCAAGCCATGGTAAAATCGATTTCCGGAGAAAGAAAAGATGAGGTCTACCCCGGGGCAGAAAATAAATATTGTCTCCTTGGTTGCACGCCGCTGAATAATTGAGATGGCAAAAATCCATAAGCGGCACATGAGCCAAGTCTGCCACAGTTTGTTCAACTTGCTCAGCCAGCAAAACAGGAATTAATGTTCCTTAGTTTATTTTCATCCGCTGCTCTCTTCTTTGCAATTGAAAATAATGTCATATTATAATATACGAGTAGGGTTATTATGCGTATGCGCATTGCTCTCTCTATCGTTGCGGCTCAAAGGGTTAATAATGCAGGCGGACCCGCTTGAAATTCAATCGATGCTCGACTGAGTAAATAATTGTTCGCTTCGGCGGCAGTGGTGACGAGCGTGGAACCAAAAGTGACGTTGGTGGCAAAAATCGGTGAGAGGGAAGCGCAGTGCGGCTTATCGTTTTTAGTGGAGAAGACTAATTAAATCATTACGTAACTTAATTGGATTTAATTGATTTGACAATTTGAATGCAATTTATTTTTAAATCCTTGCGTATTTTCTGCGTAGAAAGGATACTTTGAGGTAATATGTATTTAAACTGCGACTGCGATTCAAGTTTTCGAAAGAAAATACTAAAATCACAAAAAAAAAATTGTCAATCTTTTCTAACATTTTAAATTCAAGAGTGATACCAAAAATTTTTCTTGAAGATGATAATTTTTTACCACAATGATTCCAATTTTTGTAATACAAAAAAATAAAACTATTAAAAATTGTTTTTATAACTTAAAAACTTTGTTATGCATTCTATATTTTATTATAATTTTTTATTTAATCATACATATATGTAAATAAAAAATAAAATTTATTTAATGTAAATAATCCCTCAAAATTATCACTCTCTCACCAATCACCAGTTTTTTTGTTTCATCAATAACAAATATATAATCTCTAAAACGAAGGTTACCAGACAAAAGGCAAACTTTAATAGCCACTCGTAGCTTTTTGACATTAAGTTAATTTATTTTTGATAAAAATTTCAAGAAATAGGGATACAATTACAAAATAATACCCTTTTAATTTTCAATTACCATTGCAATACTTGCAATAGTATGAACAGAATATATTATGCTTTTTTCCATATAGAAGGCCCACAATTGCTCTCGTGCTTTCGCAGACAAAAGACAAAACTCCTTCCCTTTTCATTTTTTCTTCCTCTCTTCTTACATTATACGCTCTTTATTATTTCGCTCGGCTCCTCATTACAAGGAGCCGAGGAAGTTTGGTCGTTGACAACAAACAAAAAGTGAAGCAGTCGAGAGAGTAACGCACGTCTCATGTGTGTTTCAGCTCCGAGTTGTGCGTGAATGAGCCGCCCCAGAGCAAGAGCTTAGACAACCTGGCCATGGTGAGTACTCTTGTCCTCCTTATCATTATTAGACGCCCTCTTTTCTCCGCAGCGCTTCTCCTGCTCAGCATTAATTTGCGCCTCCAGCAACCCATTAGTGCAATTTATGAGCAAAAATGCGCGCTTTCTGCAAAATAAATCAACTTGCTTAAGTGCCGACAATTTCAAAATACACAAAAGCTCGTTTAAGAGCAAAAATCCTTGTTAATTGCAAATTTTGGCAAAGTTCCCTTGAGCAGCTGATTTTACAGAATGTTTTATTTCTTTCTTAAAAGGTTTTAAAAAAAAAATTTTGAAGCATTTTTAATGCAGATTTTGTTATGAATAAAAGAAAGGATCGTGTTTTTAGATTTTTTATGCTCAAGATGTTTTTTCGATGGAGGGACAAGTCTCAAATAAAATTAGATTTTTAATGAAATCCCCAGACGTAAACAAGCAGCACCATTGCTTCTTTCATTCCGCAGCAGCACATATAGTTGCATAAACTTTAATGGCGTGATAAAAAGTCTGCCCGGCTAAAGTAGGACAAATGTTCCCAAGGAAAACTAACAGAAGATTGGATCGTTTCGTCAAACTATAAAAAGAGGCGCGCGCGTGGGATGAAAAAGCAGGCTTAATTAATTTCAGAAGATTCTAGCCTTCATCTGTTCAATCTAGCTGAGTGAAAAAAGAGTGAGATGAGACCTGCCAGAAGTTCCAGATATTTTTTTTGCAAGTGTTTTTCACTGCGGAGAATAGGAAGAGGGATAAATTGGAATCTTTTTATTAAATTTTCTATCTCTCCGGGTGGACTGGCAGAAAAGAGCAAAATATAAAGTAAAAATTCATCCTCTCTTCGTTTTGTTTTGATGCGACATTTCATCTTTGTAAATGGAATTTATGTACAGTAGTTTTTTCTTTTAATTTTTATAAATTTTTAAAGCAATTAGCTTCTAATGACTTCTAACTAATGAGATTACATGAACCACGTTTGAAATATTTAAGTTAAGCCTGAAATTAAAATAAATATTTTTCTACAATTACATATCCTTACGATTTATTTATTAAAAAAAAGTCATCTTGTGATACTAAAAAAGGTGCAACTGTAGTTTTAAAACCATTTCAAAATTTTATTTTTGTACTGAATTCTATCAATTTTAATTTTTTTTTAGAATATAGAAAAAAGGGGAAAATAAATACCTTTGAATAATTTTTTTCCTAATTTACAACCCCTACACTAAAAACTGAAAGGATCAGTGATTTCGTCTCTCAACAATTAAGATGACGATTTTCCAATCAGCAGCAATAAATCTGGACAGTGCCTTTTCCTTTTGCTGTCGATTCCCACAGGACCTTGTTTCATTCAGGGTGGGGTTCCCCAGGGTGGCGTTGGGAGCGGTGCCTGTGGGGCGGACGCATTCCGAAAGGCGCGCGTTCGCCGGCAGGATGCACTCGAGACCCAGCGCGTATCGATTGGAGCACCACCCTCGCACTAACTCTCTCGCCCCAAACTCTTCTCTCTCGCTTCCCAACCGACCGACCGACGGCAAAGGCAGCCGAGCCCCAAAAAGCTACTTTGTTCGTTGCTCCTTTCGCTTGTTCGCAACAGACGCTCCTCACCCGAATGCGTAATTTGGACCGAAATGAGCATGAAAAATGCAGGTGTTGCCTTTTTACACTGGGGAGAACAGTAATCGAGTTTAACCACATAAATATTGGGCCTCGCCTAAAGAAATAGACTTACTCCTTCATATTTTTTTGTTAGGAATGGAAATGCGCAAATTGAGTTAGTGAACCTTTCTGTGAACTTCTTTTATAGAAATTGTTTTCCATGAATAAAAAATAAAAAATATTAGATTTGTGGGCGTAAAAGTACGCAAGATTCTATTCATTTTGTAAAATGCATGAAGTTCAAAATGATGTTAATTTTTTTTTTATTTAAACTTTAATATACTCTTCTAAATTTATCCAAGATACACAACAATTTCATAATTGTCTCATTAATTAAATGTTTTGCAGGAGGAGAGCGACCCCAACGCGGGGGCCATCGCTCTTCGGAAGGCCCTGGAGTGGGAGTTGAGTCTGGACAGCCGAGACATGCGGTCACATGCGTGGTATCACGGAGCGATCCCGCGACCCCGTGCAGAAGATATCACGAGTCAGGACGGGCACTTCTTGGTGCGCGACTGCACCTCGCAACCTGGAGACTACGTGCTCAGCTGCAGATACAGAGGACAAGCACTGCACTTTGTAATTAATAAGGTAAGATTTATGCCTGTTATAAATCAACTAAATTAGAATTCAAGCAAATTAAACAATTTTAATTTTTCCGTTTTAGTGATTTATTTTTGATATTATTCTGATTATTCGTTTAGAGGATGTAACCTCTAGTTTCATAACACACAGTATTAAAACTTTAATCTTGGCTGGGATAGAAGATTATTTTTAGGCGAAATAGAATCAAAATTAATTAATTTATCGCAGATTATTTTCAAAACTAAAACTGTTGTTTCAATTTAGTGCATTTTTTATTAAAAATTTTTAAAATAGGCAACTATTCTCTGTAAATGAAATAATGCAATTTATATCCTATAAATTATATCTATAAAAGAAGAAAAATCTCTTATGGGTAGACAAGTGAAAATATATTATTATAAAATAAAATTTTTCATCATTTACGGGTTTATTGTGCAATTTAAAACCTTATAATTTTAACTAATTGAAGACTGCATTCATACTGTTCATACTTTTAACAATTATTATTCTGACGAATATGTTAGAACAGTTAGATCACCCCTTTTACTTATCTTTTTGGAAAAAAGTTTGTCGTAGAATTTCACGATTTTAAGTTCAAATCATCTAAATAAAATGCATTTTTTAACAAAACAATTCATAAGCGTTCAATAGAATCATAATTTTTTCTTTGAATATATAATTATACTACATAATGTAACTTCAATGCAGTACCAAAATGTTTTTTTTATTGAAAGATATTTATTTGTTATTACATTACAAGTCCAGCCAATTTCTGTAGTAAATGAAAATTTTTAAAGTTTTCATAATAAACTTGCAACTAATAAAAATTTATCAATACCGCGTCATGAAATAATGTTTCCAGTTAAATTTAACCATTCAAACTAAGCAAGCTTTAAGTAAACTATTAATGTCATTTTGACCATTAAACTAATTGAATTTTTTTTTATCTTTTCCTCTTTGCCAGGTGGTCCTTCAGCCAGACACAGTATACGAGCGAGTGCAGTACCAGTTCGAGGACGAGGCGTTCGACACGGTGCCCGACCTGATCACCTTTTACGTGGGCAGCGGCAAGAGCATCTCGCAACTGTCCGGCGCCAGAATCCACACGCCGCGCAACCGACTCTACCCCCTGTCGTTCTACGCGTCCAAGTTCCCCGCGCAAATGCCCCCGTCGGGCCTCATGTCGCCCTGCTCGCCGGCCGGCTCGCTGGTCACCTCGCCGTGCGGCGCCGCCTCCCCCGCCTCAAGACTGAACATGTACAGCAACAACATGGTGGCGGCGCCGCCGATGAGCGTCGTCTCGCCGCCCAGCACCCTCGGAAGGAGCAACTCGCGGCCGGGCACGCCGCCCAAGCTGCCCACCAAGCACCGAAGTCACTCCCTCACAGCAAGCACAGTCATGGCTGAAGCAGGGGTGAGTAATTATGGAACAAATAATTTACGTTACATTTTTTGCTTTAATTAAAAAAAAATTTGGTATTGCTCAATACTTTTGCAACAAAATTTCTAACTATTATAATTAAATTTGTGTTATTTAATTTTTTAAATTATTAAAAATAATATTATTTTTACCTCAATTTATTTATTGTTATTTTTTTATTATTGTATAATTATTATTTTATGTTGTTTTATAATATAATATTATTCATAATAATAATATTTTTATAAAAAATAATTTTTACCTTTGCAAAATTACTTTTGATTCATTTTATATATGCTGTGCAGCGTTGTGATATGATAATTTTAATTAACTTTAACTTAATCATCATTGTCCATGTAGTGGCTGTAAAACTGGAATAATTAGGTATTTTCAACAAATGACACAGTATTTAATTTAATATAGTAAATTTAGGGACATTGCTAAATTTAGAGTTAACAACACAGTTTTCATAAATTCATAGTAATAAAAAAAAAACAATTAGCTCACATATTTATTATATTATGCTGGATTTATTTCATGTAACCTGTCACGCGCAATTGATATTCAATAAATACACACATTTACTCACATTTAAAGCAAACATATTTAAACGATGGAAATTCTTGTGAGGACTGCAAAAATAATTTTACACGCATTTGGCTCTCGCTGGCTGGGGGGTAAACTAACAAAATCCCTCGCGTGACCGAGGCTCATTGGGGCGCTCAACACTGAAAGGGTTGCTCGCGAACAATTCGTGTTAGTGCATGTTGGGGATGATTAAAAATTCCTCGCTCAGGAATAATCACTTCACGACTCATTTGCTTGAAAACAATGGGCATAATATAGGCATAGGGCCGTGTACAATAATAAAAAGCAGAGGCATAGAAAACAAAAAGGGAATATTTTCATCTCTGTTTTTCATTAGGACATGATTGCAAAAAAAAGGGGAAGACTGATATATTTCTCTATGACTATGACAAAATTATTTACTTTAGAATAACATTTTGTAGAATATAATAAATTAATTTTTGATCTTGTCTTTTAAGGGTAAATCAGAATATATTATTCACTTAAAATTAAAACATTTTCTTCAAATTTTCATTTCAGTTTGAAAAAAAGCTATTTTTTTGCTTCAAATTTCTAACCATTTCTAACAAGAAGCAAATTTATTTTATATTTAATAAGAGTTTTATAATTTTTGTTCCAGATCCGAAGCATGTCTATTGATGAGCGTTCAACGGAGAAATTCGCATCCCTGCCTCGCAACAACACATCCACCCCAAAAGCACCCCCCGTCTGCTTGGCGACGATGCCGCGCTCGAACAAGGCGTCCATGATGCGGGTGACGAGTGACCCTGCGCTCAGTCCGTGCATGGAGCGTCGCCACTTGCTGGACACAGACCCTCAGGGCAGTCCACCCCCGAAGCCCAGTCGCGTGCCCTGCATGTCGAGTGACCTCAGGGGTGCCGCCCAGGGGGTGTACCACGCGTCAGGAAGCGATTCCGGAAACGGTTCCGGCGACTCGGTGCAAAGTTCTGCCGACGCCATGGAGTCCTCGTCCACTTCGCTGAAGCCCTGCAACGTGGGCGTGGTCATCAAGAACCCTTCCAGGAGCTACACACCCCCGGACGCAGTTGAGCCGGTCCTCGAGCCCTCCTCGGCCTTTGACCTCGACTCCTTCGCCACCCTGCTGCTTCCTGTGAAGGAAAACAAACCCCTGGACGCAATGGCCATGCAGGGTGTCCGACTGCTGTTGGCCGAAAATGGCTCCAGGGTGATCGCCAACCACCTGACCAAGGTGGACCTCGAGCTGACCCACCTGGCAGGTCGAATCGTTCCCAAGGGAGAGCAGCTCGACCTTGGGCTGGGGGTGCACTCGGGAATCGAACTGTGTTCCTTGCCACATGGCCACCAACTCAGGCTAGATCTCATTGAAAGGTATAATTTTTTTTAAAGTAAATTGCTAGTTGAATTAAATAATTATAAATGAATAAAAACGCATTTATTTATAAAATCAAAATTTTATACTAATTTCTTTTAGCATTTATAAATATATATTATTTAATTTATCTCTTTGTTTATTTAGTTTAGTTTCAACAAAGTTAATATTATTAACAATAGTTTTAAGCTATCAAGCTATAATTAATCTACTTACTCAATACTGAATCAAGATCTGTACTTTTTAACATTAAATTTGTAGTTACACTCTGGTGTCTGCTGTTTATGGTTTTCATGAAATGATATAAAATTTTAAGGGCTGAAATATGAAAATGAAATGGAAATCATTCAAATATGGTCTGTGAATTGTTATTTATTAACATAAATTCTCAGTAAAGGACTTATCATGCAATAAAAATTCCATATCAAAATATCACCAAAATTTTGATAATTATGTAAATCATCTCATAATAATTTATATTTTGTTATTTTTGTCAACTAGAAATATTTTTTCATTGTATATTTTATTCAATGAAGTAATAATTTCATGTCTTATATGGTGTCTTTGTGCTTCCAGGACGCGGTGCATGCAACTTTTCGTGGCAATCACCATTCTCAGTGGAGCGACTGACGTTGAACGCGCCGACACCCTCCACAGGTGGATACAGGTTGCAGTTGACGTGAAGACTGCCTTGGGCAACCTGTACGGCTTCTGTGCAGTTATGATGGGACTGAGCATGCCACAGGTACAACTTCTTGCTTGGATTTAAAATTTAAATCAGCTTACAAATCGTATAGCCTACTCAAACGTATGTCAGAGTACCTGGTTTAAATTTACCATCAAATTATTATTATTTCCAAATATTAACATGAAATTTATTTAAAAAAAAAAAAAAATAATTAAAATTTTTTGTAAGTAGAGTCATTTTTTAAAGACAAAAGTTGGTGTTTATTACACAGCAAATCTTGAGCATTAGAAGTGGATAAAAATGGCACAAAAATTACTTTATTGTTTATTTTCAAATTTCACAAAAAAAATAATTAACAATTAAACTTTTTGAATTAATTTTAATAGTTTAAAATTGCCAATGGCTGAAAAAATTAGTAAAAGGCTTAATAGAACATTATTATTAATTTTTGTTTACAAAAAAAGTGTTCTGACATTTTTATATTAATATATTTGATTCATATTTCAGATACAAAGACTCTCGTCAACATGGCATGTTGTGCGCCAACGGTACACGGACAGCGCATTCAACTTTGAGGCCAAACTGCGTCCTGTGCTGAAGAGTATGAACGAGTGCACCAACCCGCAGGCGCCCAACACCACCATCCCCCACCTCCTCCCCTTCGTTCTTCTGCACGAGCGTGAACACGCCCTGGACTTCGAAGACCACCTGCACCCCTCACCGGTGAGCTGGGAGAACGCCAACGACCAGGGCATCCTCACCCTGTTTGAGCACCTGCAGATGGCGCGCAAGTTTGCAGACAAAGAAGCAAATTTCCGGCGCAACGCGGAAATCGTTCTCAGCGACGCCAAAATAGACGATTTGCTGCTGGACGCTTTCCGCACCGAATTCCACCTCAAGTTCCTGTGGGGCAGCAGGGGTGCCGGCGTCTCCTCTTCGGACAGGCACGCCAAATTCCTGCAGGTGGTCTCGGCCATGTCGGAGAAGTGCGAGCCGAGCGGCCTGCAGTCGCCCTGCACACCCACCATGCCCAACAGCCCATCCATCACATCTTTCGGACCAACACATACAGCAGTCTAGACGAAAAACAAAATGAAAACAGTCAAGAGCAGAAGAAATTAAAAATGCTAAAAAATTTGGTTCCTGCGTAGGCTATTGTACAGTTAAGGTTTCGCTCACTTATAAATTGCAACTAAATTGACCCTGGGTCACCAAATATTGGAATGTTGAGGAAATGCTTACATTATCTGACTTAAAACAGCTCTTCGGTTGGTATTTTGTTCATGGTCCTCATAGGTGGCGGAAAATTGCGTTTTAACGTCATTAAACATTGACCTTTATGCATTTGCATAGGGTTTGCCAAGTAATGTACACTTTAATGCAATGAAACATTAATATCATTTTAATTTTTGTTACCAGAAAAGGATTTTTTTTAGTCATTTACATGATATTTTGAAATTTTGACTTGCAACATAATTTAAGTAAGGGTTTGCAATTTTTTTTAATTAAGGAATTATTTAAAAAAAATATTCAAATGAGATAATTTAAAAAGAAAAATTGAATGATTTTTTTTTGCAATTGTAAAATTTGCCAAAATTTTTTCTTGCCATTGAATTAAAGGCTAAAAATTGAATATCAAATTTTTACCAAAACAAATTTTTGAGAATTTTTCAGCATAGTCTATGGTTCTAGCGTGCTATTTTCTTTAAATATAAGTGAAGTTTTGATAGGAAAATTGCAAGCAGTTAAAAGGAATGCTGTCTGAACAAAAATACTTTTTCGTTAAAATTTGCAGTAAAGTAGTAATTTTGGAACCGATTTTATTTTTTCAACCAAAATTTGTCACATTTTGCTGAATTGATTAGCTATCCTAAAAAGCATCATAAATATTTTCTCTTTGTGTGAATTTTAATTCTAAGCCCTTCTTCAGTGGCATAAAATTTGCAAACAAAATGACACAGTTCATTTCATTGCGTAAAAATTATTTCACAGGATCATTAATGTATTCAGAAAAATTTCCTTAGTATGAAATATTATATAAATTTGCAAATCCTTAAAATTATTTTATAATACTGGTAAAAATTTTTAGTTCTAAAATATATCAGCGCATTCAGAATTCAATTTATTTATGTGCAATTAATGATAAAAAAAACGCGAGTAATTTTTTGCCGCTCAACAAGTTCTGCTGCAATAATTTAAGAATTGGGAAGCGCCACCTGCAGCAAAACAATGCACTATGCAATCGCGCCCTTTTGTGCTCAAATCAGAGGGAAATTAGGTGGGCGGGGTCAGTATTTGTTTACAATGTGCCGGGTCACGTCGTGTGTCGCTTTTCTGTCCAAAATTCGGTCGAAATGAGGGTTGTTTGGGCGAAAAAAAAGGGAAAATCCGGTCCTGGCATCGACCGAGGTCAGTTCAAGCTTCGTTTCCAGCGAAAGCAGCAGGTTAGTTTCAATTTTAACACAGTTTTTAACTCTCGCGAGAAGTATCTAAATTTCCAATTTTTATTTATTTCCGTCCAAAGCGATTGATTTTAGCATAAAACCGACTTTAACCGAAAAATATAGAACAATTAAGAGTTGACCCAGACAAAAAGCACTGAGTGGCCACGAACGAGCGAAATGATTGTTTTGTACGCAAAGTGACTTTTCCGCAAAAATCACCATACATTTTTTACGTCCTTACAAAATGTTTGATTTCAAATGAATACTCCGATAAAATGCAATCCAGAAGCATCAATCTTTCATGCCATTGGTAGGAAAGTTCTGCAGATTAATTTTGCGTAAATTTTTTAATGCAATTTTCAGCGGAAGTCGTTGCGACTTTGTTTTTTCCTCTTCACTCCTGTTTGCAGGAGAAAATCGTTTATAAACCAAATTTTATTACGATATGTGCAAAACCTGGAACTGTACAATAATCCATGCAGGAACCTTACTTAATTTTAACATGATTTAAACAATATTTGAAAGTCTCCATTTTGACGATGTTTATAGACCAGAAATTCAAAACCGAAACCATTCTTATGTATAAATATCAGTCTGTGAAAACTGAATTTGCAACCAAAACAACTTCACATGTTGTATAAAAAAAAATGAAGATTTTATGTTTCTTTTATAAAATGGTACCACTTATACAAACACTTCACTTACGCAAACAGAGGACTGGCGCTATAATTATACAAAAATCTTGTACTACAAAAATACCACTAAGGTATTTAGCATAAGTGTTAATTCACTTGAAAAGAGTCACCTCAAACACCCAAAACCTCACTTATTTCAGTAAATTATGTACTGGAAGTGGACCGACATGGAATTTTCCGAATGTTCTCAAAATGAGATCTTGGCTCATTTATTTATCTCTAATGAAAAAGTATTTGAATTGCTTATTATGGCTGATTAAGTAATACATTTTGAGGTGCCTCTGATTTTGCGATCAACAATAACGAGACAACAAACTCCACCATCTCTACCACATACAATCTAACAGTAATTTTGTACTCGTTGTGTTTTAACCGTAGCCAAGACGTTTTGCAAATTTTTCACATTTTATATTGGTACATTTGTACGCGAGCAGACTTGTAAACTCGCCAACCTCAACAATAGATGAGAATTATTTAGCTGAAATTTCCGGTACTCAAAAGTACGCAAAAAAAACTCTGCCAATAAAAATAGTCATTCCTTTTTTGCGCAGTTAAGTAGAAGCAAACGGTGCTACATCTTTACTCATTCAAAATGAAAAACTCTCACTAAGTACATAAAGTAATCAATAAAAAATATTTGTGTGGCGCATACTGCTTAAATTATAACCCAACGATGGATGTCCCACGCTACGTAATTAATTAAAATACCATTCCACGCAGATTTTGAGGTTTTCAAATTATCTGGCTTTGTATTATTGTGGAAGCGAACATTCCTTTTCTTGGCTCAAAATCTGATTTTGATTTGCAAGGTTGTGATTTTTAATTTTTAAGCTTTCTAGATTTTAATGACTATGTCCAGCACAAAATGTCTCTAGATCTTAATTTTACTGTCTCTTTTTTACTAATTGTGATCAGAAGCTATTGTTTAAAATGGATTGCACTGCTTTCTCAGATTCGACGTTGAAAATAAATTTTCCTATGCTCAAAATTTAAGTCTCTATCGTAATAATCAAAGTACATAATTATCATAAAATTAGTGGTCGAAGAAGCTCAAATCTAGGCCATTTATGATTGGTTTTGCGAAATTGATGTCTTCAACTACTATGCTGTACCAAAAGAAAATAACTGATGTGTATAAAAATGTGTCAAATTTCACCACCACCACCACCACATAATAACATAAATATTGATGTAAATATTGTAAGAAAAGTAAAGAACGCAAGAAATGCATTATTTATGATGAGATGCGGAAAATGAAACGCGTGAGAAAAATAGCGCGATTCGGCCTCTGCGAAAATTTTCACCACCATATCAATTTGATAACAATTTGAGTATAAAATGTTTATTCTACTCATGCAACCGAATTCGTAAAATGAAAACGCTATGATTGTTGGAGATAGTATGGCTGTGCTGGTATAAGAAATACACTTAACATCTTTTAACCAATGTTAATTTAATTTAAAAAAAAAATAGACCCCGCTGCAGAGTTTCTTTGTGATCTTTATTTGTCACACCGCCGAATTTTTTCACCCCGACGATTTCTTGACAATTTTGTGTGCGTTTGTGGCGAGAAAGAGAAACATATAAAAGCGCATAAATATGATATGTAATTGGATGATTAATACATCATCGCGTTGGTGTAAATTTTCCAGATCACACATTAGAATTGGATAATTGCTGACATTTAATAATGATTAATTGATTACTATTGTTATTTCGTTGTAGAGCTTGGATGAAATAAAACGCAATATAATAATTTATAAAAAAATTGACACCTCATTTCATAAAACTATAAAAAAAGTAATGGCTTATGCACTTATTCTGTTACCAAATGTTTCTATGAGGAGCTAAAGAAACTATAGGCTACTTATTTTCAAAAGAAGTAAACACTTCTGCTCAATTAAACTAATATAAAATGATTATAAAAGGAGAAGCTATCATATTTTACAACACCATAAATCATTTGGAACTTTTTATAAATATTAAGCAAAAAAATAATATTATAAGTTTTGTAAATTTTTATATAAAATATAACGTTAAAACAAGAGTATAAAACAGTAAAATTTGATTCATTAAAGAATCAATTTTAATTAAACAATTAAAAGCAAAAAAAAAAAAATAGTTTCTGCATAGAGGTGGAACATTTTTTAAATTTAGGACAGAAAACAATAAAATTGTACATAGTTGATTTCCAAGTACACTTTCAACCCTCCAAATAAAAGATATTCCCCTTTGAATCAGGTATTCCTTTATTTCAAAATTGTGTAATTTCTCTTAATTGTGTGGTAGAAAAGTTTTACTTGCGGATTGAATATATCTTTTGTTGCTAAAATGATAAAAAAATTGCATCGGAAGAAAGAATGTGGTTTTTGTTAGTTTTCTAAAACTCAATTTATTTAGACGATCAATAGACGTTGAAGTTGATATTCCTTTAATTCAAAATAGTGTAATTTCTCTTAATTGTGTGATAGAAAAGTTTTAATTGCGGATTGAATATATCTTATTTTGCTAAAATGATATAAATATTGCATTGGAAGAAAGAATGTGGTTTTTGTTTGTTTTCTAAAACTCAATTTATTTAGACGATCAATAGACGTTAAAGTTGATATTCCTTTAATTCAAAATAGTGTAATTTCTCTTAATTGTGTGGTAGAAAAGTTTTACTTGCGGATTGAATATATCTTTTGTTGCCAAATTGATAAAAAAATTGCATCGGAAGAAAGAATGTGGTTTTTGTTTGTTTTCTAAAACTCAATTAATTTAGACGATCAATAGACGTTGAAGATGATATTCCTTTATTTCAAAATAGTGTAATTTCTCTTAATTGTGTGGTAGAAAAGTTTTAATTGCGGATTGAATATATCTTTTGTTGCTAAAATGATAAAAAAATTGCATCGGAAGAAAGAATGTGGTTTTAGTTTGTTTTCTAGAACTCAATTTATTTAGACGTTCAATAGACGTTGAAGTTGATATTCCTTTATTTAAAAATAGTGTAATTTCTCTTAATTGTGTGGTAGAAAAGTTTTAATTTCGGATTGAATATATCTTTTGTTGCTAAAATGATTAAAAAATTGCATCGGAAGAAAAAATGTGGTTTTTGTTTGTTTTCTTAAACTCAATTTATTTAGACGATCAATAGACGTTTAAGTTGATATTCCTTTATTTCAAAATTGTGTAATTTCTCTAAATTGTGTGATAGAAAAGTTTTACTTGCGGATTGAATATATCTTTTGTTGCTAAAATGATAAAAATATTGCATCAGAAGAAAGAATGTGGTTTTTGTTTGTTTTCTAAAACTCAATTTATTTAGACGTTCAATAGACGTTGAAGTTGATATTCCTTTAATTCAAAATAGTGTAATTTCTCTTAATTGTG